CTTATTTTCACAGATCTTCTCGTGCTATTGAAAGAAGCAGAAAATGCAGCAGGAATGTAACATCATTTTATGTTACATTTATCTTTGCCCAATTGATTAGAGGAGAAATCTTTTGTTCCTATGTACAATATGGTATGATAAGCCATGACTACATCATACATGGATGCATAATTTACATAAAATAAATGGAGGACGTAAGCCCTTTATAAATTTATAATGATTATATTCTATCACTCAAGAGCAGTGTCAACACTTCCCTCTGCTACTATAAGACTAGCTAACACCCTCTTTCTCTTGCTGTAGAAGTTTTCAGACCACAAAAAAACCCAGGGGCTACTACACTGGTAAACTGTAAGTACTTTATATGTTACCTGTCTATGCTTGCTACAATTGCTGAGTGCAAGCAAAATGAAGTTTTTCCTCACCTTCCCAGTTTGTCATTTCCCTCATCACAAAGGGATGAGGGAAGAAATAAGCAATTCTAAAATTCTTTCTGGTTATTCCTCTTGCATCCCATAAAGTTTACATTTATTTTGCGAAAGTGAAGTATGCATGCATGTATGTGTGCATAGAGCAGGGGTCGCCAACCTTTTGGACCTCAGGGACCACCAAACTCATAATTTTAAATCCTGGGGCCCACCCTGTGAATTTGATTGACGGTGGCTTGCTGACCTTGGTGGGAGAGAGAGGGGGGAGGAGGGAGGGAGGGAGGGGGGGGGGGGGGGAGAGAGAGAGAGAGAGAGAGAGAGAGAGAGGGAGAGATCTGATCTAACCTCTCTCTTTCCATCTCCCTCTCCCCCCCCCATACACAAACACACAGAGGCAGGGGTGGGATTCAAATTTCTTAACAACTGGTTCTTGGGCGTGACCTAATTTGTGAGTGTGGCTTGGTGGTCATGTGACTGGCTGAGCATGGCTTGTATGTAAATATTATAAATATTTATGTAAGTATTGAATTTTTTATAAAAAAGAGCAACTTTTACCCAAAATCAGGCAAAGCAGGCAGGCAGAT